AAGTAGCTGGGACCACAGGTACCCGCCACAAGTCCCAGCTATTTTTTGGTTGCACCTGTCATTGTTTGGCGGGCCCGGGCTGGATTCAAACCTGCCACCTTAGGTATAATGTGGCTGGTGCCTTACCCACTTGAGCCACAGGCGCCGAGCCTAGGATATTTTTAAGTAAAACTTGCATTACTGCTTTTCTTAGCAAGGGTATGGTGGTAAGATATGTAATAACTTACTAGTACAGTTTGGTGCCACTGCTTTAACTGATGGAAATGTGCCAGCAGTTTTACCCACCATTATCTGTGCACCATGGTACAAATGTCAACACCATAAAGAAGGCACATGATGCTGTACTGTTATTATGAAAATAGTCTAGACCTTTTGAACTTCATGAAAGAGTCATAAGAACTACTATACAAAATACATAGATATAATTGAAATTTTGTCATTTCACTTTAAAAAGGAATCTTTTTTACCATTTTTTTATGAATCTGCAAGTTTCTTACACTCTTACATTTGCCACATACACTAATGTATGAAGGCTAATGTAGTCTTTGTAATTATTTGAATTTTCTATGAAATGCATTCTTACTATGAATGTTTTTTATTCTGAATTGTGAATATTAAGATGGAAAATAACATAAATAGGAAGCTAATAGACGTAAGGGCTGTATTGTAACTTGTGAATTGTTACACCTTGCTACAGATACATAAAATCATAAGGTTAATGATCTTACTGAGGTGATAATGCCTTAACAAAAGTAATCCACAGTCAAAATCTCAAGGATCCTTTTCCTTATTATGTTTTTTAACTAATGGCTCATAAATTTTTGTCATTGGTTAAATCTAAGTTGAGATTTTATTTTTTTTTATAGATTTAGGACCAATAAGCCTTAATTGGTTTGAAGAACTTTCTTCAGAAGCTACACCTTTTAGTTCTGAACCTGTGGAAGAATCTGAATATAAAATCATCAGTTATGAATCACACGTATTTAAAACACCACAAAGGAAACCCTTTTATCGACAGTTGGCTTCAACTCCCCTAATATTCAAAGAACAAGGTCCGACTTTGCCACTGTTCCAATCTCCTGTAAAAGAATTAGATAAATGCAAATTAGACTTGGGTAAGTAATGTTATATGGTATATAAGGGGAAAATACACAAACTTAGGGATTCAAACAAATGTGTATTAAAATATCAGCTCTTTCATTACATAACTGTGTGACATTGAGCAAATCAATCTCTTTGGCTTCACTTTCCTCAGCTGAAAAATGGAGATGATGAAGATAATACCTAATAAGTTTGGAATAATGAAGTGATGTAGGTACTTAATGTTCCTTTTCCTCTCTTCCTTTGCTTGATATATTTTGCCACCCAATTTGCTGAATTAGGTCTTCTTTTTTTTTTTTTTTTTTGAGACAGAGCCTCAAGCTATCCCCCTGGGTAGAGTGCCATGGCATCATGCTCACAGCAACCTCCAACTCCTGGGCTGAAGCGAGTCTCCTGCCTCTGCCTCCCAAGTAGCTGGGACTACAGGCGCCCGCCACAGCGCCCGGCTATTTTTTGGTTGCAGCCATCATTGTTGTTTGGCGGGCCCAGGCTGGGGATTCGAACCCACCACCTTAGGTGTATGTGGCTGGCGCCTTAGCCGCTTGAGCCACAGGCGCCAAGCCCTGAATTAGGTCTTATATTAAAAAACCTAGAACTTCTTAGCATGTTAAACTAAACTCTACTTCTATAGGCTATCACAGAGGATAGAGAAAAATATTTTTATCAGTATACTATAAATGTGTTGATTTGGTAGCAATTTCCCTGGCCTGGGTACCATTTATTTCTAAGCAATTATGTAGTAAGATTATGCATTCAATCATTCACATATTTATTACCTACTTGACGTAAATAACATACTTTTCCTTTCTTTGGAGTATCTCTCTAGTAAGGGGATTAAATAATACACAGATAAAGTATAATATAAGGATGAATGTAATATGTGCAAAAGAAAAATATAAGAAAGTATAACAAAAGTTGAGAAGAGAGAAAATGATATTGGGGAGACTTAAGTAATTATTTGTTTGAATTGAACTTTGAGGGATAGGTTAGAGTCAGAAATATGAAGTTTTGGTAGAGTGATAATGTTCTAGATAGAGGGAACAACATGACAAAGAATATGTAATTTGTTCAGGGACTACTAATAACTTGTCAGCAAGCAATTCAAATTGGTTTGGGGTGTTCTGTGTCTGAAAGTGACCAGTAGACAGCCTAAGGCTAAAAAGAAAACAGATTATAGATGGGCATTTCCAGGCTAAAGAAATGGAATTTATTTGACTGGTTGTTGAGCAGAGAAGGCATGTGCACATTTTATTCTGCTAGTTGCAGCATCAGACCTTTGATCACCTCACTTTGTCCTCATGATAAAATCTGAACTTAATTTTGGCTTACAAGGTCCTTTGTGACCTAGTCTAGCGTTAAATCATCTTGCCATATTCCCCCTCTCACCTGCTTTCATTTATCATTGATTCCTACTGAAGATCTTTTAGTTATTTAAACCACCATACTCTCTTGCTTTTCAGACGTATTATTACCTCTTCCCACAGTTACTTTGTTCTTTTGATTTTTTCGTCTAGCTAGTTTACTCATTCATCTTTCAGCTCTTGGATGATTTATCTCTGCTTTTGAGAAATATTCCCTATCTCCATTGAGCTTCTAGTGAAGGAGAAGTTCCGCAATTATAGTGTGATACATACTTTGAAAGAGGAAATTCATGGCACTAGGAAATGCATATACAAAAGGAATATAGGTAATGGTCAAAGATCGTCTTTCTTTCTTTTTTGTGAGACAGAATCTCACTTTTTTGCCCAGGCTAAAGTGCCCTGGCCTCATAGCTCCCTGCAACCTCAAACTCCAGCTCAAGCAATCCTCTTGCCTCATCCTCCTGAGTAGCTGGGACTATAGGTACCTGCCTCATGCCTGGCTACTTTTTTTCTATTTTTAGTAGAGACAGGATCTCACTCTTGCTCAGGCTGGTCTTAAATTCTTGCGTTCAAGCAGTCTACCCAGCTTGGCCTCCCAGAGTGCTAGAATTACAAGTATGAGCCACCCACCCAGCCAAAGATATTCTTATATATTATTGGATACCAAATGGTATATATAATATTAAGTATTCATAGAATGAATATTAGTTTTTAATTATCTGGCAGCAGTCTTTGGAGATAAAGGTTTTTTAAAATATGATGGTGGTGTCATCAGAATCTTTCGGACTGCTAATTGAAAGGGCACGTTTCAGACTCCACTCTGAGACTCTTGAATTAGAATCTCTGGAAATGAAGCCTATAAATCTATATTTTAAATTACCTTATCTTTATGAAAAGGGAAGAGTGAAGATAGAAAGATTGGTTAGGAGATGTATAGTGATCCAGGTGATGGAGGAAAGAGCCTGAGTTATATAGGGTGCCCATAAAGTTCATGTGCGATTTATAATAATTGTCTATTTGAAATTGCAGTCAGACTTTATTACTACATATGTAGTAGTGAAAGCAGATATGGGAAGTAATAACTGTAGGACCCTGTAATAGTCTAGATATGGAGGATTCAAAAGAAAGGAACAAATGGCAAAGCATAACTGAGTTAGAATATGGTCGTGGCAGTCATAGAAATTGGTAGCATATTGAAATTGGAGAAAAAGGTTTGGGAAGGAAAAGGTTGAAAGGATGGAAAATAATTTAGGTGAGTTTCAGATTGTTGTTAGAGATGGTTAATGGAATGTTATGGTAGAAATGTCCCGCAAACTTTTGGGAATACAAGGCTAAAACTACAGTTAAGAACACAGGTGAGAAAGAAGATTCCAGAAGTCAACTTTATTTACAGGTTAAATACTCCTACAAAATGATTGGGACCAGACTATTTCAGATTGTGGATTTTTTTTTTCAGATTTTGGAATATTTGCATTATATATTACTGGTTAAGCATTCCTAACCCAAAATTGAAATGCTCTGGTGACCTTTTTTTTTTTTTGGAGACAGAGTCTTACTTTGTAGTTTGCAAACTCTTGGGCGTGAGCAATCCTCTTGCCTCACCCTCCTCAGTAGGTAGGACTACAGGCATGCACCACTATGCCTGGATATTTTTTCTATTTTTAGTAGAGATGGGGTCTTGCTCTTGCTCAGGCTTGTCTTTAACTCCTGAGTTCAAGCAGTCCCCCCAGATTGGCCTCTCAGAGTGCTAGGATTACAGGCAAGAGCCACGGTGCCTGGCCAGTGACCATTCCTTGAAGAGTCATTCAAAAGAGTTGGCATTCAAAAAGCTTAAGATTTTAGAACATCTCAGATATTGGATTTGTAGATTAGAAAATTCAACCTGTTTAAAGTGGTAAATACCCTGGAATTTGTATGTGTATAATCAAAGAAGGATCATAATGAATTAATAAGTTCATTCCAACCCCACCGCAAAGGAGTTAACTTTTTTAAGGCTATGGTGCATAATAATTCTGTTCACTATAGTCTGTTGAGACCTTTTGCTTTTAAGTTTGCTTAAATTCAATATTGAAATCTAAGACTAATAGACCTAAGCTATGTTTTTTAACTTTGTTCAGTTCTAAACTTTTTTATGTATTATTATTTTTAAATCCTCCCTAAAGTCTCACATTCTATGAGATGTGCTATTTCTGCTTCCCAGCAGCCCTTCTCTTTGCATGAAATCATATGCTTTTATTTTACAATACTTAAGCTTGCTTGTAAGATCCTCAAATTATTTGGGAAATGTTTATTTGGAAATAAACTTGTTTTCACCTGGTTTTTTTTTTTTAACTTTTTATTTTTTATAGCTGGATTTCTTTTTATTGCTGAAGAAATATTGATATATTAACTAAAGTCCTTAGTTTACATTAGGGTTCACCATTTGTACAGTCCTAAAGATTTTGACAAATGTATTATTATAATGTCATGTATCTGTCATTACAGTATTATACAGAATAGTTTTGCTGTACAGCTCTTGTGTTCCACCTATTCACCTTCCCCAGCTCCTGAACCCTATTCAGCCACTAATCTTTTTATTGTCTCCACAGTATTACCTTTTCCAGAATGTCATATAGTTCATATGTCATGTGGAATAGTTCATATGTCATATAGTTCTATAGTCATATAGAATCATACAGAACATAGCTATTTTAGACTGGTTTCTTTCATTTAGCAATATGCATTTAAGTTCCTCCATGTCTTTTCATGGCTTGATAACTCATTTCTTTTTAACATGAATAATACTGCATTATATGGATGTACTACATTTTTTCTGTTCCTCTATTGAAGGACCTCTGAATTGCCTCCAAATTTTGGCGAATATGAATAAAGCTGCTATAAACATTCATGTATAGGTTTTTGCGTAGATACAAGTTTTAAACTAATTTGGGTTCATACCAAGGAGTGTCATTGGATTATGATGTGTGTTTAGTTTTTTTTTAGAAACTGCAAGCTGTCTTTCAAAGTAGCTGTACCATTTTGCATTCTCACCAGCAGTGAATGAAAGTTCCTGGTGTTCTTACCCTCACCAGCATTTGGTATTGTGGTTTTAGCCATTCTAATAGGTGTATGGGGGTATCTCATTATTTGTTTTATTTTTTTGAGTGCCTTTTCTTTCAAAATATGGTTTAGCTACTTTATGATAGGTATCTTTAACTAAAAATCTCATTGGAGAAAGAGCATGGATGTTTTGTTGAATTGGTTTTTTTTAAGTTACACATACATTTGGTTACTATGTCTAGTCCATGGTACTTGAGAATTGAGAATATAAGGAGACATTTTGTCCATGCTTCTACAAATAGTTTTAGTTTGATTTTCATTTTATTTTAATAACATTTATATTAAAGTTTTTCCCAAAGATTCTTTTAGAGATGATAGGCTCTTTCAAGGCAACTATTTTTATGTATTTATTTATTTATTTAAAGAAAGGATTCTCACTTTCTTGCCCCCAGTAGGGTGCCATGGTGTCATATCTCACAGTAACCTCAAACTTTTGGGCTCAAGCGATTCTCTTGCTTCAGCTTCCCAAATAGCTGGAACTATAGGCTCCCACCACAACCAACATCCAGGTGTTTTCAGAGATGGAGTCTTGCTCTTGCTCAGGCTGGTCTCAAACTTGTGAGCTCAAGCCATCCACCTGTGTTGACCTCCCAGAGTGATGGGATTACAGGTGTGAGCCACTGCTCCCAGCCTGCAAGTATTTTTAAAAGTATATTTTTTCTGAGAATAAAATGTGCCTCAGGTGCCAAATTTATAGTAGCCATCAAACCCATAGAATCACCTGAGTACTTTATCCCTAGAGAGTCAAATGTAATGTACTCTAATACAGAAAATAGGAATATGGAAAAACTATAAATTGGGTTTGTTATTGATGGAGCCACTTACAGCTTACGAATAATGTCTAATCATTATTGCCTTAGAAAGTAGATGTGGTCAACAAGAATAGAAATACATGTATTGTTATCTAACTTCCCCTAATGATAGCTAATTTATTCATTCAGCCAATATTTGTGGAGTGACTGTAATATGTTAGAAATTATTGTAGTTGCTAGGAATACAGTGATAAGACAAAATCTCTAACTTAAGGACCTCATAGTCAAATACTGGAAACAGGAATAAAGTGTGATAAAGTCTTCAGGAAGCACATAAGAGGGGCAAACACTTACTCTCACCTCAGAGACCACTAAAGTTTTCTGGAAAAGACGTTTAGTAGTTATTAAATGGAAACCCAAAAGAGATACTCCAGGGCTAGAGGGAAAAAGAGAGAGATAGCTTGTACAAAGTCTTAGAAGTTAAAAAGGGCATTCTTTTCAGGACGTGGAAATAGTTGGGTATGGCTAAAAAGTAGAATGTGACAGAATAGCATCATAAAAATTAAGTCAGATTGTGAAAGGGCTTGTTACTACAGTTGTGTTAATAGAGTTTTATCTTTATCTTGAAAAATAAGATCTTAAAAAAGAAAAAAAAGAAAAATAAGATCTTTAAAAATTTTTGGCAGAAGAATAATATGGTCAGATTTGGTATCTGATTGGCTTTCAATAAATGTCTTTTCCTCCATGGTAACTTAATAATAGAACATAGCACAGGTGGCGCCTATGGCTCAAAGGAGTAGGGTGCTGGCCCCATATGCATGTGGGTTCAAACCCAGCCCCAGCCAAAAACTGCAAAAAAAAAAAATAATTTTTCAGGCAGCACCTGTGGCTCAAAGGA